TGGAATAATACAAAGCATGTGTTAAAATTGTAGATAAGTTACATTTAATAATAGCGTTAATTTACTTTCCGTTCTTACGTACTAGAGTGCGTGTGTTTTTATTCTAGGCATGCATATTAGAGAAGCAATGTAAATGTGAATGTCACATAATTGACGCCATATATGGGACATGTGTATTCAAATTTTATAACCTATGAGCATCGTAATTAATATGAGGTAATTATATCTTTCTGTTAATGATTGCACTCAATAGTACTTATTTCAATGTGTTCATTATCTGTAAATTGTGCATAATATCACAGAGAACTGAACTGATTTGAAATACTCACCAACTATGTTAACACGACATTCAGGTGAATCGGGAATCACATCAACAGGCATCCTAATGTCTATTACATTTGATTGACGATGTTTCTCAAAATATTTATACTCTGAATAAAAGATAAAAAAATGATATATGAGAGTAGAGTACCATAATCATACTATTTACCTATTTACTGTTTTTTGAATAGTGGATATTGTATAAAGAAGTATAGGGCGTGATATCGCTTGGTTATCAACATTCTATAAAACATCAAAATACTCCTATGGCATATTTTTAAAAGCCACTTATTGTTTTGCTCACTCTTTGATATTTTCGGTGGCACAACCACTAAGTGGATTTGGGTGCTGATCTGTGCCACTATGGACAAACAAGTGTGGCTTTATTGAATCTGGGTTTGAATATGCAGATTGATTTCTGATCTCTGTTCCCTATTGTATGGTCAAAATCGTATTTTAGTGATTTTGGTAAGAGCTGTTGATATTTGACATTAATTGATTTTAGGCATCATGTCTGTTTATTATGCATATAGTGAACCGAAAAACCACTGTCACACTGACCGAAGTCTAGTTAGAATGACCTGGATTTCAATCTCAATAGTGTTTGCAATGTACAGGATTGGCTGCATTGAAGGGTATTTTTCTATATTGTCACATAGCTGGGATCATCATGATTATCTACAATTTCTGCATTATGAGTAGTTATTGAGATGTATGCGTGTGCGTAGTGTGTGTTTTTAGGGATTTAATTATGTAATTTGTAATTATAAGATCTGTCATAGGAATTATTATTATAGGATTTTTTGGGACAAACACCGTAAAAATAAAATTGTATCGTTTGAATTAAATAATCAACTTATAGTTTTAATAGTATGTACGGGCTATTGTATTTATATTAGCATGTGCTCATGTCATATTTGGGATATGTTCCTGATAATCTATAATTACTGCATTATGGTTGGATT